CAAACAACACCCCAAAACCATGCCAAATCACCGCTGAGGGCAAACAGAGCCCCTCAGCGCAACCAGCAAGCAAAGGAGTCATAAACACCAATCTGCCATAATCGCGCTCAGGGGAAATTTCCACTGAGCGGCGATTCTGTAGATTTTTCAAAATTTGCTTTTAACACTTCCTAACTCCACGCTTATGCAATCTTTCTAGTTCCAGATTCAAACCAAACATTTTAATCGGTTCAAACTGTAATTAATTCATCAAATCATGCATAAAACATAACCCGCTGCAATTAATACACACACAAACAAAACATAACAACACACTCACAACACAAACATAACCCACACTAACCATGTTTTCCTAAAAGTGAATTAAGCAAACGAAATGCTAATATTCAACCAATTCTGTACCATACAGTTTCATCAATTAAGCGAAGATTGAACACCAATTAGGAAACTAATCGTATACCCAATCGCAAGCGCAAAACAGATTCAATACTAGCCTAGTCAAAACAGCAAAAACACACTTCCAAACGCAAGAATCTCATGGAAACAATGCAATCTCCATAGTGCCCAACCAAAAGAGTGTCAACTTTCCATTAACACGAAATTAAACCAGCAAAACGCAACATAAACAAAGGTAAAACGAAAATTGCAATGGAAGAACAAAATTGGAATTCAAACAGGAACAAGAATTGAAAACGAACTCAAATTCAATGTAGAAACGAAATTACAATTGAAACAAAATGGGATTGAAGCACAAAACAAAATTCGAATTAAAATAAAATGATTTGGTATAAGAAAATGGAAGCAAACCTAAACCCACAAAGGGGGGAGGGGTGGAAAAACGCCCAGGAGCCAAAACCTATAGAGAAAAACGTAAAATGAGGGAGACAAGGTGGAGTGAAATCTGAATTGGGGATTTAAAAACCCCAAATTACAAAAATGCCCTTCTAATGAGCTTCTACAAAAGATAGCAAAAAATGGCCCCAAGCTAACCTAAAAACAAAATTAAAAAGAAATGTTGATGTGCAAAACAATAAATGATGTGGAAACTCTCTTTATGTCCCAACAATAATTCCAAAATTGTTCTGCAAATAATAATTGGAATAATTAGGCCCAAATAATTCAAATTAATTAAAATAAGAATTATTAGTCAAATTAAGCCCAAATAGTGAAAATGAGATAATAATGGAGAATTAAACAAAATTCACTAACACAATTTGGTGCGAAAAAATAAGTGAATAGTACATATTAGTGATTCATCAACCTCTCACCCAGACAGACATTGAACATTTGGTTTATGTAAGTGTTGTGTTTTGGAATAAACATATAAATTGTATTGTAACCAATAATTCCAATATTTCAGTTCATATAGACTCCGTTCATATGTGATGAGCATTTTCTATTGTAGAATACCAACAATCGAAACGTCTGATGAATGAATTTGGATTTCGACAGACTATCCGTCAACCCCAATGAATCTTGATGACGTACATAAAGAGGATATGAGGAGGACGTGCAGATTGGAATTGGAAACAACACCATCAATAATGGATTGCATTATGGAATGACAGGCACAATTGTGTATTTAACGGGATTCCATTCAACAAAAATGGTCATGTGCATGACGATACAGAGTATATGCAATGGTATATAAGTCATACCATCTGCTATGTTGCCCCGATTGAAGAGTAATTTGATGAAGAGGTAGGACAATATTTTCATATTGAATTTATTAATGTTTGTTTTTTTCCTGAAAAACTAACTTCAACATTGTATTGAACAGTATGACATGGACTATCAACAACAATTTCAACCATCACCTACATATCGTCCACCACAACCATACCATGACCCACAAAGGTCTTCTTATGACTACCTGCATTATCCATCTCCATATCCAACCTTCCAACAAAACATCCCACCCACATCATCCTATCCTCAGGTTGGAAGATCTTACGGTTATTTTCCAGTATCAACACCGCTCAGTGCAGGTCCTTTAACATTTAGTGCGAGTCCTTCACATGTATTTGGAACCTCGACAATGACTCTACCGTTTGCATACCATCACAGTTCTTCATCAAAAAACATTTATCGACCGACCAAATATTTTCAACACCATCAATAATCAATTGAAACTCAACAAAGTGGGGAAGATGAAGACACATAGACTCCCCCACCACAACAACAAAGACAAGGGCAACGACAATGAAGAAGACCAACTTGTGGTACTAACAGACATAGGTAGATATGCAGTGAAAGTGGGAAACAATTGTATTTAATTATCTACTTTCTATAATGAATAAATTATATCAAATGAAAAATCCTCTCATATGAATAATATGTCATTTTAAAGTCATTTTCAATGAATGAACATCACTTCACACATTTCCACTATAAATACAACCAAACATCATGTGGTATTCCACACAACCTCAAAACATAACTTTGTCGTACTTCTTATTTCCTCTTAAGTCAATTCTCCATTCCCATTCAATTTCAACTCATTCCAAACCTCATCCCCCACAAAAGATGAACACGTATGATAATGAAGTTGTTGGCATCAAGGCCATAGACAACCTATATAACTCATACCTTGCTACCTTATTTCAAGACGAAAAAATTAGAAATGGTGATCATGGGGTCGAATTTATATGTCAACATCCAAAATTGTTATGACTCCCATGCGATTGCACCTTCAAACTCCTTAAGAAAAAAGTTTGCATAGCGTCTGACAAACCAACTAACATAGCCATCAACAAGTTGTACTTTCGCGACTGACAATTCATGGTGATCAAACAATCTCATATGATGCAGTTAAACTACGATCAGACGAAGATGTCTCACAAATGATAACGTGTAAGTCTCACTTTCCCATTAACGCAATTATAGAAATGTATGTGTCGCAATCAGGATCGCGACGGGACGGCGAGCCGAAAACAAACGGGTTTGAGAAAAAGATTTAGGAGTCGCCATCATAATTTATTATGGAAAAACTATGGAAAACCAAAAAATAACACATGGTTTGCGAAAACTAGATTTTAAGTTCGGAAATCGGTTACGCGTAAGAAAGGTGTTAGCACCCTATCGCGTCTACCCAAAGGCAGTACCTTTAATTAAATGTATAAAGTTGACGTGGTTTTTCAAAATGTTTAATTTTTTCTAAAAAAATAATATAAAGAAACTATTAAGAAAAAAAAATATTTTTTTTGTTTTATGAACCCGACAAGGATTGACCTTGCTCCTATGTATATCCATTTATGATGGNCAAACAATCTCATATGATGCAGTTAAACTACGATCAGACGAAGATGTCTCACAAATGATAACGTGTAAGTCTCACTTTCCCATTAACGCAATTATAGAAATGTATGTGTCGCAATCAGGATCGCGACGGGACGGCGAGCCGAAAACAAACGGGTTTGAGAAAAAGATTTAGGAGTCGCCATCATAATTTATTATGGAAAAACTATGGAAAACCAAAAAATAACACATGGTTTGCGAAAACTAGATTTTAAGTTCGGAAATCGGTTACGCGTAAGAAAGGTGTTAGCACCCTATCGCGTCTACCCAAAGGCAGTACCTTTAATTAAATGTATAAAGTTGACGTGGTTTTTCAAAATGTTTAATTTTTTCTAAAAAAATAATATAAAGAAACTATTAAGAAAAAAAAATATTTTTTTTGTTTTATGAACCCGACAAGGATTGACCTTGCTCCTATGTATATCCATTTATGATGGACAATCATGGATCGCGTAGTTCTTTATCTAAAAAAATGTTTGTGAGTTTGTTTGAAAATTATTATGGATTATTTTGGATTTTTGAAAAGTGAACTCGATTAGGATTGACATTTTTTTTTTATTTTGAAGAAAATCTTTTGTTTTGAAAAATGGTGGGAAAAAAGAATGAAACCGGCCATAGGCCGACGAGTACTTGTAAAATTTATTTTATGGCTTATTATTATTTTTATAGGAAAATATGTGATAAGAAATATTTTTTTATTTATTTTGAAGTTATTTATTTATTATTTATTTTTTAAATAAAATAAATAAATATCACGTGATGCGAGATATATAACCAATACCAAAAGAAACGAGATAATATATTCTTTTTTTTATGAAAAACATTATTAGTGTGTAGTAAAAAAATAATACCTTTAGAAAGACCTTCAAAGTACAATAAAAAGAGAAAGGTGTAGAGATGACATACCTTTTTTGGCTCTAAGTATTCCCCCAGTTCTCCCTTGGTAGTTTCTTTTGGCAGAGTTCCTCTAGCGTGAGAACTTACTTTTCTCTATACTATTCCATACTCTTTCTATCTCTATTATTTCAAAGTATTTCTCTCTATTTTTTCGTCCCTTTTTCTTTCTATCACAGGGTGCGTATTTATATACACACATTGTAATATTATGATAATCTTGTCTTAAATGTGAATTAATTGACGATGAACAAAATAGGGAAATAAATGGTCTTGGTTCCAAGAAAAAGAAATCAAATAATATTCAAAACATTAATTATAATTATTGTCAGAAAATATATCCATTTTTAAAATCATATTTTCCTCTTTAAAAGCAACTGACGCAACAAATTATATTAATATACTATTTTAATCACTGCTTATAATTCAAAGGGTTAAATATGTTTTTAGTCACTCAACTATCAAGCGATTTTGTTTTTCGTCCTTATTTCAAACTTTGTACGATTTGATCCTTCTTTAAAGAAATCATAATTTTTTGTCCTCCAAAACAAACGGCGTTAAAAATTAGCTGAGGTGGCTAACGGTGTATGCCAAGTATTTTTTTTTTCTGACACTCACTGCATCTTTCTCACCTTTTCTCTCTCTTTCACGGTTTATTGTTCTTTCTAGCGTAGGAGCAAAATCTGTTTTTGAGAAGGCAGATTTACCAGGACAGAGGAAAGGTAGAGTCGGGGAAGAAAACCACTTGGAGAGATTGATAGAGCAGGGCGAATCGTTTCCCAGTAGCTCTGAGGCCGTGGCACTAGCGGTTACAACTCTCCACTTTTTTCCCAGTAGCTCTCAGGTACCGAATTCACAGGAGTTTTCGGAGAGATTGATTCAGATGAAAGGGTGTGAGATCTTGCAATAACTGGTTTGGCCTGGTTATGATACTCGACGAATGAAGGCATTGACGATGAAATCTCAGTACTTAATGCAAGAGCCTGCAAGGATTTAGCCTTCTCTATTAGTTTTTCATTATCCGTGTTCTCAGGGAGGTTTAATAATCTCTGAAGACAGGTTGTAGGATTTTCTGCAGCAAGAAGTGAAGATTTTAAATGAAGCATCATTGCTACTGCCATAGCAGAGATAAATGCTCCACGAGACGAATTGAAGATCCTAAAACCAGAGTCTGCATTGTCCTCGACATGTTTTTCCACTTTACTATTATCTGATAAAAAGATTTCATCCCAGATTATTAGAAGGTTGCTGAGTGAAAATTCTCGCCCAAATAAAACTCGCAACCAGCGGAGAGCAAAGTACTGGGGTTCAACCCCGAGATCAACAAGATGGGCATGCAGAGATGAATCCACATAAGACAACAAATGATACAATGCAGCAGAAGCTTCAATTACAGAAGGTAAGCCAGTATGGGACCCAGGCAAAGGGGAATAGGAGAAGAAATCGATCATTGAAATTGAACCACGAGCCCCATTCATCAAAGCATCAAACATACAATAAGCATCATGTTCGATGAATTTCTTAGATAAAACAATGCCCAGTTCACCTTCTGCCCCATAAGCGTCACTTAGCAACACGATGTCAGTGCGAAACCCTAACTCCTTTCCGCAGCCAAACGATGTCGTTAAAGGTTTAGCTTCGTCGTCGTCGTCTTCCCTTGCCGCGAAAGCTATCCGAGCTTCTTCGGCGTGTCGCGACTCTTCGTTGTCCTAGATCTCTCCTCCACTTCTTCTCCGACAGCTCCTTCTTCGCCGTGAAGGAGCCCCTTGCAGCGTTTGAGGTGTCATCCTCGTCGATTGTGGATGAGAGAACGGCGGTGGAGACCCAGAAAACAGCGGACGACCTCCTGGGAAATAAAAAAATATCAACGTGGCAAACGACACGTGGCTAGACGTTAGCCACCTCACCCGATTTTTAACTCCATTAGTTTTAGAGGACCAAAAATTATGGTTTCCTTAAGGAGAGGGATTAAATCGTACAAAGTTTGAAATAGGGACGAAAAATAAAATCGTTGATAGTTGAGGGACTAAAAACATATTTAATCCTAATTCAAATTATTACCATATTAAACTAACATTTCAAAAATATTGTGACCGGTATTATAGTTATTATTTTATCATTTTTACCCACTATTAATTATTATTCTCTTATTTTTTTTATTTACTTACCCGGACGAAATAGATCTCCGAACCAAATCATGGCTCTTATGAATCCAACAAATGCATCACTTCAACTGCGACACACACAACTGACACTCCGAACTCACCAACAATAATCTATTTCGGAGGTCCACTAAAAGGTGTGGGAATCATAGAAAGTCGGTCTGGGTACAGGCTCAAATTCCGATTAGATGCAAAAGCCAACACCTCAATCAATCACATTTCAACATGTAATGAACTCTTAACTCAAATAAGTGAAATTGTCCAATGTGGAGAGAGAAAATTTTGTCACGTATATTGACTATCGTCGTCTAGTAAAGGTATGTAACAACCACCTCATTCATGATACAACTTCAATAAAATGTGATAATGATATTGCACAAATGATTAGACGTTGGCAAAGAGCACAAACTATTGATAAATCTGTGAAATGTCCAAAAACTTATGAGTATATTGCAATTTTCGTCCAAACAATATTCGTCCTCCAACTCAAGCTGAACACTACGAGGATCTCAAAGATTAGACTTACATAGACGAACACGGACAAAAAAGAAGAAGATTCATATATTAATTTTGATGATAATTTGTAATGTTTAACACTCTTTATTTTGTTTAAAACTGTTTAAGACTCTTTAAGACTTCGAGTCGGATGATTGTAATAATACTTTTTAATGTTTTGTAATAATTTTTGAGTTTTAGATAAAGTTCTCCTTTTATATATTTCTAATTAGTGCTACTACTTTGTTTTTATTATTTTACATGTCAATAATAAATATAAATTTAGATACAAATCGTCAAAATAATATTTCTATATAAAGATTTTAATTTCTATTATGGATTATACAAAAAATAACAATTATATACGTAAATTATATTGTACAATGATTTAAATTAAAACAAAAATAAGAAACAAATGTATTTTTAACCCAAAACTCTGGTAGTCGATTACAAGGTTTCTAGAATCGATTGCAACGTGGGTTTATAGAAAAAACTCTCTGGAAATCGATTACAGAAACCCTGTAATCAATTAAAACGCAACTCTAAACAACATTAGAGCACCAGGAGTAGAAGAAGAGGTGATTTTTGAGCTTTTGGAGGTGCTCTAATGGAGGTGCTCTAATAGCGGCTGTCCTCCATTAGAGCACCTCCAAAAGCTCAAAAATCACCTCTTCTTCTACTCACTTCTAAACAACATTTTCCCATTCCCCTTTCAATTCTCTTCAATTTGCACCGATTGGAATCTGAAATGGCATAATCTTCAAAGAGGCAAAGGGTTAGGGACTCATCTTCTTCAAGTGCGGGAAGTCGCCGCCGTCAACCTTCACCTAGTGAAAGCTCACCCTCACCCTCATCACTACCGTTACCGACTCAACCACGTCTAAATCTTCTCTTTTCAACCCCTTTATAGTCAGAAGGATATTTCTCACTTTTCTGTGACTGTTACTTTATTTACCCAAAATTCCTTGATGAAGAATATTTCAACCAAGAAAATTATGAGTTTTTCCACATGTTGACAAATATGGGTTTGGATAATTTTGTTTGTGACTGTGCATACTACTACCCTGATTTAGTACGTGTTTTTTATAGCAACCTCAAATTTTCTGACAATGGAACCATTAAGACTGAGGTAAAAAATGTTAAAATGATTATCAAACCCAGCCTATTAGCTTCCATAGCCAAGCTTGAATTTTGAAGGTAAATTATTTGACGAATGGGAGGATCAATACAGTATTACGTAGCAAGAGACTTGATTTGTTTGCCATACAAACCCCGTATGGGTAGAATTCTATTTGGCTCTATGACGGTTGAAGCTAGAATATTACATTATGTTATATGTCGTGTTTTGTTTCCACGTGTTTCTAACGTTGGACTGACTACCAAGGAAGATCTACTTTTAATGTGGATTATAATGACGGAAAAGCAGATAAACTGGAGTCATCTCATCTGATATAGGATGAAGAAGGCTTTGAGGCCAGGGGCTCCTTTACCCTATCCATATTTCATCACCCGGATCCTGCAACATTTTTAAATTCCATTGGATGATGAAATACCTAGCCCAGAAAATAAGAAGATGAGAATAGCGAAACAAGTGATAGTGTCCTTTAGATTTAGAAAAAACCTAGACGACACATGGGTTCACAGAAATGCTCCTCCTCCTCGTCAACGTCATAGTGAAGCACATCCTCAGCAACAACCACCACCCCTTCTTCAACAACAAACTTCTTCATTTGATGATGTCATGATGGGGATCAATGATCTCCGAACATTTGTTGGCGACAACTTCAATACTATGAATGATAATATGAATGCAAGATTTGAACAACTGGACCTAACATGGGTGACCACTTTTATATAATTGATGCTCGAGTTGAACATCTAAAGTACGACATGCAGTATCTGCGTCGTCATTTTGGTCCACATGGCGGATCTTCTTCATAGATAGATTTCAATTTCATTGTATTTTCTTCTTATTTTATTTTTAGCTTTTACTTCTGTAATGCATTTTTAATTTAATAAAATAATTGAAATTTCATTTATGACTTTGCTTTACGCTTTCCATTTGTATTTACATTCAAAAAATTACTCATCCTAAACATGTCAATGTCATCAACAACCTTGTGTTTACAAAAATTAAAATAAGTACACAAAAATAACCTACATTGATGGTCAAGAATCAAAAAATATATTTTATTTAACACCAAAATGCATCTAGTAATCGATTACAACATGGTTGCAATTCATTACCAAATAGTTTATGCCCACATAACATGCTGGTAATCGATTACAACGGCCTAAAGTCGTTTTTGGGGTGCATGACTTCAACTCTGGTCAATGATACAAGGTGAAGTCGTGCAGAGAGACACGACTTCTTCATTTGAAGTCGTATGGATCTCCACGACTTGCCTATTTTTGTAATTGGAATTTTTTTCGCCTACATTGGTAATTCCTTCTTCAAATTTGCCTAATTTCGTATAAAATTGCCTAGTTTCATACAAAAACCTATCATATTCCTTCATACTCAAGATATTTTAATAGCTTTTATATTGCAGTTAAGTATTTATAGTTATAGATTAAAACAATAAAGTAAATATTTAAAAAATAGTGAAATGTCAATAATAAAATTTATTGAAATATGAATAAAATTTAGTTCATAATTTTCACCCATAATTAGAAATTACCATTCATTTAATTTTCATTATAATATCTATACTTTTTTTTCTAAATTAAAATGGCAACTATTTGATCCATTGCCAAGTCAAGTAAACAATATTCTTCGATTAGGCAAGAAAAAATTGATCGTGAGATAAAATCTTATGTTGAATGTATTTATACCAACATAATCAGCCTTTAATAATTTTTTTTTATTCATTCTTTCATTTTTATCACTATAGAACTGTAGATTAAAAGTCTAACATAAGTTAAAGATTTTGAATACATTTCAGACTTTACAAACAGAATCAGTCCACCTACACAGTGCACCAAATTTAAAATATATAAACTTTAAGTTTCTTGTTGTTTAGAAATTTCAAGGGCAATACAATGCAAGTAGTCATCCCGACAACCAACAAAAATCCGACCACCAATCATTATAGGTGAAGAGAATATATCCCCTGCCAAGTTTAGCCTTGCAAATTCTTGCACATTTCTTTGTTGATAAGTATCTTTGGAGAGATTCATATTCACTCGAAGAAGGTGTATGCCTCCAGAACTGGAACAAATGCAAATTAGCCTGAAAAAATTGGTAAAATATAGGATTAAAGTTGATAGCTGGTATGGTATAACACACTTTCTTTTCTAGTTTAAAGATTAGTTTGAGTAAATTTTTTCATAATTACTTAACTTTTACATGAAAAAATGATATAAGTTTTCTTGTGTTAGTTTACTCCTACGTAAATTAATTTTAATTTATGAAATTCTTCTTATTATTTTCTTCTCCTAAAAGTACTAATGCACAAATTTATCAAAATTGACCCTAAGAAGACCAAGTTAACCTGTCTGAGGAATTGGAAGCATCAGACTCTACCAGCAAGTGCTCGTCAACATAAGCAGATGCTGTAATTGGATGTCCAACATTGTATTCCCATAGTAGGTCCCCCTCCTCCTGGTGATAATCCAACATATGGAACAAAACAAATATTAATTTAAACAATTCGTTTTGAACACTGCACATACTTACTTTCCCCCAGAATACCCATTAATTTACACAATAAGTGAGAATAATTTCTTCAGTATATGGTCAGACATGAAAGGACGCCTACCAATTATACTTTTTTCCGTAAGCATAAATCTGAGCCCCTGAAACTTGGACCAACACAATAATAACACGGATTCTTACATGGGACAAATGATTTGATATTGTTTTTCTAGAAGGAATTAATCTCATTTCAAGTCTTACACAAGAAAACTTTTACAAAGTTTAGAATATTATTGAAAATAAGAAAATGCAAATTCAAAACTTGGACAAATTGTGAGTGCTTTAAAGTGTAGGTAGGTATAGAATAGATGTATTTCCAATACACACTGAAAATTTCATGTTTTAATNTCTTAGATAAAACAATGCCCAGTTCACCTTCTGCCCCATAAGCGTCACTTAGCAACACGATGTCAGTGCGAAACCCTAACTCCTTTCCGCAGCCAAACGATGTCGTTAAAGGTTTAGCTTCGTCGTCGTCGTCTTCCCTTGCCGCGAAAGCTATCCGAGCTTCTTCGGCGTGTCGCGACTCTTCGTTGTCCTAGATCTCTCCTCCACTTCTTCTCCGACAGCTCCTTCTTCGCCGTGAAGGAGCCCCTTGCAGCGTTTGAGGTGTCATCCTCGTCGATTGTGGATGAGAGAACGGCGGTGGAGACCCAGAAAACAGCGGACGACCTCCTGGGAAATAAAAAAATATCAACGTGGCAAACGACACGTGGCTAGACGTTAGCCACCTCACCCGATTTTTAACTCCATTAGTTTTAGAGGACCAAAAATTATGGTTTCCTTAAGGAGAGGGATTAAATCGTACAAAGTTTGAAATAGGGACGAAAAATAAAATCGTTGATAGTTGAGGGACTAAAAACATATTTAATCCTAATTCAAATTATTACCATATTAAACTAACATTTCAAAAATATTGTGACCGGTATTATAGTTATTATTTTATCATTTTTACCCACTATTAATTATTATTCTCTTATTTTTTTTATTTACTTACCCGGACGAAATAGATCTCCGAACCAAATCATGGCTCTTATGAATCCAACAAATGCATCACTTCAACTGCGACACACACAACTGACACTCCGAACTCACCAACAATAATCTATTTCGGAGGTCCACTAAAAGGTGTGGGAATCATAGAAAGTCGGTCTGGGTACAGGCTCAAATTCCGATTAGATGCAAAAGCCAACACCTCAATCAATCACATTTCAACATGTAATGAACTCTTAACTCAAATAAGTGAAATTGTCCAATGTGGAGAGAGAAAATTTTGTCACGTATATTGACTATCGTCGTCTAGTAAAGGTATGTAACAACCACCTCATTCATGATACAACTTCAATAAAATGTGATAATGATATTGCACAAATGATTAGACGTTGGCAAAGAGCACAAACTATTGATAAATCTGTGAAATGTCCAAAAACTTATGAGTATATTGCAATTTTCGTCCAAACAATATTCGTCCTCCAACTCAAGCTGAACACTACGAGGATCTCAAAGATTAGACTTACATAGACGAACACGGACAAAAAAGAAGAAGATTCATATATTAATTTTGATGATAATTTGTAATGTTTAACACTCTTTATTTTGTTTAAAACTGTTTAAGACTCTTTAAGACTTCGAGTCGGATGATTGTAATAATACTTTTTAATGTTTTGTAATAATTTTTGAGTTTTAGATAAAGTTCTCCTTTTATATATTTCTAATTAGTGCTACTACTTTGTTTTTATTATTTTACATGTCAATAATAAATATAAATTTAGATACAAATCGTCAAAATAATATTTCTATATAAAGATTTTAATTTCTATTATGGATTATACAAAAAATAACAATTATATACGTAAATTATATTGTACAATGATTTAAATTAAAACAAAAATAAGAAACAAATGTATTTTTAACCCAAAACTCTGGTAGTCGATTACAAGGTTTCTAGAATCGATTGCAACGTGGGTTTATAGAAAAAACTCTCTGGAAATCGATTACAGAAACCCTGTAATCAATTAAAACGCAACTCTAAACAACATTAGAGCACCAGGAGTAGAAGAAGAGGTGATTTTTGAGCTTTTGGAGGTGCTCTAATGGAGGTGCTCTAATAGCGGCTGTCCTCCATTAGAGCACCTCCAAAAGCTCAAAAATCACCTCTTCTTCTACTCACTTCTAAACAACATTTTCCCATTCCCCTTTCAATTCTCTTCAATTTGCACCGATTGGAATCTGAAATGGCATAATCTTCAAAGAGGCAAAGGGTTAGGGACTCATCTTCTTCAAGTGCGGGAAGTCGCCGCCGTCAACCTTCACCTAGTGAAAGCTCACCCTCACCCTCATCACCACCGTTACCGACTCAACCACGTCTAAATCTTCTCTTTTCAACCCCTGGATAGTCAGAAGGATATTTCTCACTTTTCTGTGACAGTCACGTTATTGACCCAAAATTCCTTGATGAAGAATATTTCAACCAAGAAAATTATGAGTTTTTCCACATGTTGACAAATATGGGTTTGGATAATTTTGTTTGTGACTGTGCATACTACTACCCTGATTTAGTACGTGTTTTTTATAGCAACCTCAAATTTTCTGACAATGGAACCATTAAGACTGAGGTAAAAAATGTTAAAATGATTATCAAACCCAGCCTATTAGCTTCCATAGCCAAGCTTGAATTTTGAAGGTAAATTATTTGACGAATGGGAGGATCAATACAGTATTACGTAGCAAGAGACTTGATTTGTTTGCCATACAAACCCCGTATGGGTAGAATTCTATTTGGCTCTATGACGGTTGAAGCTAGAATATTACATTATGTTATATGTCGTGTTTTGTTTCCACGTGTTTCTAACGTTGGACTGACTACCAAGGAAGATCTACTTTTAATGTGGATTATAATGACGGAAAAGCAGATAAACTGGAGTCATCTCATCTGATATAGGATGAAGAAGGCTTTGAGGCCAGGGGCTCCTTTACCCTATCCATATTTCATCACCCGGATCCTGCAACATTTTTAAATTCCATTGGATGATGAAATACCTAGCCCAGAAAATAAGAAGATGAGAATAGCGAAACAAGTGATAGTGTCCTTTAGATTTAGAAAAAACCTAGACGACACATGGGTTCACAGAAATGCTCCTCCTCCTCGTCAACGTCATAGTGAAGCACATCCTCAGCAACAACCACCACCCCTTCTTCAACAACAAACTTCTTCATTTGATGATGTCATGATGGGGATCAATGATCTCCGAACATTTGTTGGCGACAACTTCAATACTATGAATGATAATATGAATGCAAGATTTGAACAACTGGACCTAACATGGGTGACCACTTTTATATAATTGATGCTCGAGTTGAACATCTAAAGTACGACATGCAGTATCTGCGTCGTCATTTTGGTCCACATGGCGGATCTTCTTCATAGATAGATTTCAATTTCATTGTATTTTCTTCTTATTTTATTTTTAGCTTTTACTTCTGTAATGCATTTTTAATTTAATAAAATAATTGAAATTTCATTTATGACTTTGCTTTACGCTTTCCATTTGTATTTACATTCAAAAAATTACTCATCCTAAACATGTCAATGTCATCAACAACCTTGTGTTTACAAAAATTAAAATAAGTACACAAAAATAACCTACATTGATGGTCAAGAATCAAAAAATATATTTTATTTAACACCAAAATGCATCTAGTAATCGATTACAACATGGTTGCAATTCATTACCAAATAGTTTATGCCCACATAACATGCTGGTAATCGATTACAACGGCCTAAAGTCGTTTTTGGGGTGCATGACTTCAACTCTGGTCAATGATACAAGGTGAAGTCGTGCAGAGAGACACGACTTCTTCATTTGAAGTCGTATGGATCTCCACGACTTGCCTATTTTTGTAATTGGAATTTTTTTCGCCTACATTGGTAATTCCTTCTTCAAATTTGCCTAATTTCGTATAAAATTGCCTAGTTTCATACAAAAACCTATCATATTCCTTCATACTCAAGATATTTTAATAGCTTTTATATTGCAGTTAAGTATTTATAGTTATAGATTAAAACAATAAAGTAAATATTTAAAAAATAGTGAAATGTCAATAATAAAATTTATTGAAATATGAATAAAATTTAGTTCATAATTTTCACCCATAATTAGAAATTACCATTCATTTAATTTTCATTATAATATCTATACTTTTTTTTCTAAATTAAAATGGCAACTATTTGATCCATTGCCAAGTCAAGTAAACAATATTCTTCGATTAGGCAAGAAAAAATTGATCGTGAGATAAAATCTTATGTTGAATGTATTTATACCAACATAATCAGCCTTCAATAACTTTTTTTTAGTCATTCTTTCATTTTTATCACTATAGAACTGTAGATTAAAAGTCTAACATAAGTTAAAGATTTTGAATACATTTCAGACTTTACAAACAGAATCAGTCCACCTACACAGTGCACCAAATTTAAAATATATAAACTTTAAGTTTCTTGTTGTTTAGAAATTTCAAGGGCAATACAATGCAAGTAGTCATCCCGACAACCAACAAAAATCCGACCACCAATCATTATAGGTGAAGAGAATATATCCCCTGCCAAGTTTAGCCTTGCAAATTCTTGCACATTTCTTTGTTGATAAGTATCTTTGGAGAGATTCATATTCACTCGAAGAAGGTGTATGCCTCCAGAACTGGAACAAATGCAAATTAGCCTGAAAAAATTGGTAAAATATAGGATTAAAGTTGATAGCTGGTATGGTATAACACACTTTCTTTTCTAGTTTATAGTTTGAGTAAATTTTTTCATAAATACTTAACTTTTACATGAAAAAATGATATAAGTTTTCTTGTGTTAGTTTACTCCTACGTAAATTAATTTTAATTTATGAAATTCTTCTTATTATTTTCTTCTCCTAAAAGTACTAATGCACAAATTTATCAAAATTGACCCTAAGAAGACCAAGTTAACCTGTCTGAGGAATTGGAAGCATCAGACTCTACCAGCAAGTGCTCGTCAACATAAGCAGATGCTGTAATTGGATGTCCAACATTGTATTCCCATAGTAGGTCCCCCTCCTCCTGGTGATAATCCAACATATGGAACAAAACAAATATTAATTTAAACAATTCGTTTTGAACACTGCACATACTTACTTTCCCCCAGAATACCCATTAATTAACACAATAAGTGAGAATAATTTCTTCAGTATATGGTCAGACATGAAAGGACGCCTACCAATTATACTTTTTTCCGTAAGCATAAATCTGAGCCCCTGAAACTTGGACCAACACAATAATAACACGGATTCTTACATGGGACAAATGATTTGATATTGTTTTTCTAGAAGGAATTAATCTCATTTCAAGTCTTACACAAGAAAACTTTTACAAAGTTTAGAATATTATTGAAAATAAGAAAATGCAAATTCAAAACTTGGACAAATTGTGAGTGCTTTAAAGTGTAGGTAGGTATAGAATAGATGTATTTCCAATACACACTGAAAATTTCATGTTTTAATCAGGCACATTGAAGGCATAGTAAAATACTTTGTGAGGAGGGACTAGAATGCACATCAGTTGTTAGCAGTACAAAATTTCAAGCTATTTTGTCGCCTCACTCGGTGACAGAAAACACAAGGCGTATTAATATGTAAGACTAATGGTTTGTTTGGTAGGAGTGATTGTGACCATTGATTTGAGATGATTTATGAGGGATTGTGTGTATTTAATTTACGTGTTTTGTGAGGATTTATGATGATTGGTAGGAAAAGTTTTAAAAGAGATAATAAAGTGGTGGATTTGTGGGAATTGTTAGGTAAAATACTAATTTACCAGTATTAAATATTTGTTTTTTTTAAACAATTCTATTAATTGAACTTTTCTTTAACTGTTTACAAAATATTATTGGAAATTAATAAATAATATTTTTAAATCATTAATATTTTAAAGAAATAATATTTTTTATTTTCTCAACTAATTTTTTATAACAAAAAAATATTTATATTTTAAGAAATACCCCCAAGAACAATTTTGACATTACATTAAAAATAACGTATCAACCTTCTCTATTTCAATAAAATCAAACACATATATCAATAAACTTCCTATTTACTTTCTCTTCAAATCACACTACAAATCAATCCTCCGCTTTCCACACCCCTAACCAAACAAAGCATACAAGCTATGAAACACGACGCAACGAATGGGAGTATTATCAGAAAGGGAAAGGGGAGGGAGAAAAAATGTCTAATAGCAAACAGCCAATGAACTGATACACAGATTCAGCAATTAACTTTTATCCAAGATATGGAATATAAATATTGTGAAGTTAAAAAGTAGCTGGTCATGAATCTAATATAGTAAAAATTAAAACCCGCCAAAATGCAATAAAAAGGAAACAAGGTTATCTGTCAGTTCTCACCAGTTTGAATGAGTATACACTTCCGGTTCTGGAGCATACAAGCACCTAAGGTGGAATAAATAAAACAATTACCAATGTAAAAAAATCCTTCATTGGTTATTAAGAGAGATAGTAATATATTTCACCTGTAATTCTAATATTTGTATACTAATATGGAGGAGACTTCTTAAAAATACAAATGTCATTTACTTGGATGCACTACAGATAAACTAAGTGAACACATTTCCACATTAGTTATCACTATAGTGTATTTTAAACAGAAACCGGCATAAACTTTCACAATCTTTTAGTGATCTTGAAAAAAGGATGTAACAAGGCAAGTAGAAAAAGAATTAAGTAAATGACTATGTAAAATCCATGAAGAGATAGATCTACCTCATCAGGAAGAACAGAAGGTATGCATGACCCAGCAAATATTGGACCATCAGTTGTTTTCTGAGCAAAATTCAGTAACAAATCAGATTAAAATTACTTCCATCCGGGACATAGTTAAAGATTGCAACCTAACGAGGTCCACACTTCATACCTTCCAAACAACGGATCCATTTGGACTCAATGCAAGAACATGACCATCTACCAAGCAACATATCACTAGAAGAAAGAGGAAAAAAAATACTACTATAAGGAAAAAATACAGGACAAAAATAGTTAGAAGGGCATATAACACATAATCAAAAGGCAATGTAACAATACATACCAGTTCCATTGTGGGCGACTGCAAGAGAACCAAACACAGGAACTTCTAATTCATTTAGCCACAAAATAGTAAAAGGAGAAGCCTGAATTCAGAAAAGGATTATTTAAGTATGACTTATGCCAATAATTGACTTGAACATGTTGGCAATTTCATCATTCAGCAACACTAACAGATTTATGCATTCAATGCTAAAACTTCAAACCAAGGATTGATCTCTTGGGTCAATACGGAGCAACTTCAATCATTTACTTTTTGTACCTTTTCACGCCCATGCTAAATCAATCACCAAAGATGTCGGTAGAAAAACAGTTTCACGAAATATAACTATGAAAAAGCAAATATGTGTCTATTTATACCAGATTTGTCATGAATTGAGTGCATGAAATGGCTCAAGTTGTGAACAGCAGGCAGGCAACAAATCCTAACTCATAATAACTCCAAATGTTAAACGTTAGTGTAACTGTCTAACTCCTTGTCATCCTGTCAGAGGCACGCAAAGAGGATTTGGTAGACTTAATTTAGCCGGTACTTTTAGTTGACACTTGAAAAGACCTCTATATCTGCTAATATAATACTATCACGAAAAAATCCATGTTTCTTTTCTTTTTCTCTTTGTTCTTTCCTCTATGAAACATCAATAATTGTCAGTTTGCAAGATAAACATTAAGTATAAAACTCTCTGCTTCCTTTTTGTTCCTTTTATTCTTTTTAGGTTCATTCTTCTATGATTATATAATGATTGCCGTATCATACTTAATAGAGTTACCATGAAATGGATACCTTTGCATCTATAGGAAAGAATTGGCCATTTCTACAAAATATTTCCATAAGTAACTAAATCCAAAGGATGAAATTTGCACATCTAGAAACAAAGCAGTCTATATAAATGCAGAATTGAAGCCCCGGTAAAGAAATATATGTATGCATTTAGAAATTCACATACCAATAATGATATAGCTGTTAAACGACCACCAGTGGAGGCCACATAAAGCAAGGCACGAGCCTTCACAAAAAATTAGTAAGAGATCAATAGTAATACTTAATTAAACAAAATGTATGTATTATTTCATTACAAGGGAAATTCACCTCATCAATTGCTGGTGACCCATATATACTGCCTCCACATGGTAGCTTGAATACGCAGCAATGTTTTTCATAATCAAGAGCATATAAGTTATGATCATGTGAGCCACACCTATATAAACATCAAACCATGCTGGAAACTTAAATAATTTCCAATCAAGCTACATGTTACATACCTTTTCAACATGTACGAGAGGCTTCTGACACATTAATAGATTCTTTGAACATGAACTCTACAGAGAGAAGTTCCATCTTTGCTTCTAGTCTAATATTTAACATTTTTGTGTGTGATGGTGTTTAGATTGTAAATATGGTCACCAACATGTACTTATTAGGAATTACTAATTTTATTTATATTATCAGAAAAAAATTATTACAGGGGAAAGAAAAGTATTACATGATACAAGAGTATATGATTTCTTCTAAATAGAAAAGTCAAGAAACAAGAACGTGAAAAAAAAAAATAGCTCAGAAAATCCCATTCAGTTTATTAATAAGAAATGACAACACTTTCAAACAACAATTTGTAGGGTATCAAAGGGAAGCACATTAGGCAGGGAATTTATTCCCACGGCCAGGAAACTCAGCACCTGAGAGTCTTGAATGAAATCTTAAACCATGCACCCCATTGAATATTGTACAAATTATGTATGGAATTAATCTTCTTTGTGTTGAATATACACTTAGGGTACTCTATTTATAATAGAAGAGATATAGACTAAGTCCAAAATACAAATAAACAATAATAACAAACTAACTAAAAGATAAAAAGTAAAACTAAGATAAAGATAATATATCTAACACCCTCCTTAAATTGGTGCATACAAATCGTATGTACCAAACTTTTTACTAATATAATCAATAAAGACTTAGTGAAAATATATGCTTCTGTACTCGAGTGATACTAAATTGTTAATGATTTGAAAAGACGACATAGAAGACGAAATACCATCTCAGAAGACTCCCCCTTAACAAAAAAATTTGAGGTTTCTCCATATAAATATCTTCTTGCAAATCGCTACTGACAAATGCATTATTGACATCTAGTGAATAAAGAAGCCATTGTTGAAGAGCCACCACGACTATAAAAAAACCTAACAAAAGCCATATTTGCCATTGAAGAAAAAGCATATATGGACAAATCAAACGTATCGATGACAGAAGAGACAGCAGTAGAAGAAGTCATGGATGAACAGGAGAGAAAAACCCTAAAAATCCAAGATTCTCCAATCAAGACACCAGAAAGAGGGAAAAGAGCGACCTCGACGCTCTAAATAGCTGCTTGAGAGGAAGCGGGACATGCGACCACGCATGGCAAACTTGAAAGAGGAAAAAGAACAACCTTGCTTTGAATTGTTGCTTGAGAGGAGACAGGACGCGCCACCATGCAGGACAAAAAGGGGAACAAATCCACAACTTTGAAAGGCACTAATAGCGCGTAAGAGCTCCGATGAAGGCATCGTTGAAGGAACGGTGGTCGTCTAGTTGAGACGATCATAACTGTGTGGTTGCTAGTCGAAACTGGAACTCCGGCAACGACGACAGATGCTGTCGCCACCGGTAACGGTGATAGACGCTGCCACCACCGGCAATGGCGGGTGCAAGAAACGAAAATTTTTTTCCTAAAAGAACCTGGCTCTGATACCATGTTGAATATAGTAGAAATTATATATGGGATTAATCTCTCTTGTGTTGAATATACACTTAGGATACTCTATTTATAATAGAAGATATATGGGCTAAGTCCAAAATACAAATAAGGAAGAATAACAAACTAACTAAAGATAAAAAATAAAATAAAAATAAAAATAATATATCTAACACATCCAAATCCTTAATTTTCATATATTTATAGAGAATCCTTCCACCCTTATGATTTTCTAGGTTTGACAACTTGTATTGTGCTAAAGGGTGTGTCAATTTTTTCCATGCGAATAGAAGTTGGCCATCAGATAATCTCCAAAGTATATTACATTTTAATTGAAAATAAAAAGGACATGTTTGAATGTAACTATGTAGGTTGTAAATTTCTTAGCAAAACAACTCAGATGTGATGGAAATTGGATTTAATATATCCCATTAAAAGTCATCTACTATCTCTAATTGATGTGCAATATCCATCACATCCCCTCACGTTAAAGGACTGGACATTTCCAACGCACCCCTATCGTGCTTGAGGACTAGACATCTCTAATGTGAGACTAAATAGATAGGCCTAATAAACCTCTCATTAAGATAGCCTTTGATATTATTTTATAAAGTTAACTTTTAAGCCTAACTCAATCTCATAAAACTAGCTTGCTCACATATATATTATTATTTGGTCATATTTCTAGTCAATATAGAATTTCCAATAAAATAAAACTGAGAAGAGGTCAAACTCAAAACAAATATATCAACCTACAACCCTCATAAATTTTAGTCTCTTTCATTCCTCTCCTCAAAAAACAAAATGCCAAATATAGCATTTTTGAAGATTGATTTGTACAAACCAGCAGCAGTCCTCTAAAGGAAGTATATTGCGCATTCAGCCCATCTACAAGGGTTCTAAAAGAGAGATTATAGACTATATAACAAACTTGCATACATTGCAATAATTGTGGGAGGTACTAAGTCTGTGTTGTATATAAGAGAAGATAGGGAAAATGACCGTGCAGGCAATCAATCATTTGGGTAGCTATGACTTGTGAATGGCTATTATCACAGGGNTTATCTGTCAGTTCTCACCAGTTTGAATGAGTATACACTTCCGGTTCTGGAGCATACAAGCACCTAAGGTGGAATAAATAAAACAATTACCAATGTAAAAAAATCCTTCATTGGTTATTAAGAGAGATAGTAATATATTTCACCTGTAATTCTAATATTTGTATACTAATATGGAGGAGACTTCTTAAAAATACAAATGTCATTTACTTGGATGCACTACAGATAAACTAAGTGAACACATTTCCACATTAGTTATCACTATAGTGTATTTTAAACAGAAACCGGCATAAACTTTCACAATCTTTTAGTGATCTTGAAAAAAGGATGTAACAAGGCAAGTAGAAAAAGAATTAAGTAAATGACTATGTAAAATCCATGAAGAGATAGATCTACCTCATCAGGAAGAACAGAAGGTATGCATGACCCAGCAAATATTGGACCATCAGTTGTTTTCTGAGCAAAATTCTGTAACAAATCAGATTAAAATTACTTCCATCCGGGACATAGTTAAAGATTGCAACCTAACGAGGTCCACACTTCATACCTTCCAAACAACGGATCCATTTGGACTCAATGCAAGAACATGACCATCTACCAAGCAACATATCACTAGAAGAAAGAGGAAAAAAAATACTACTATAAGGAAAAAATACAGGACAAAAATAGTTAGAAGGGCATATAACACATAATCAAAAGGCAATGTAACAATACATACCAGTTCCATTGTGGGCGACTGCAAGAGAACCAAACACAGGAACTTCTAATTCATTTAGCCACAAAATAGTAAAAGGAGAAGCCTGAATTCAGAAAAGGATTATTTAAGTATGACTTATGCCAATAATTGACTTGAACATGTTGGCAATTTCATCATTCAGCAACACTAACAGATTTATGCATTCAATGCTAAAACTTCAAACCAAGGATTGATCTCTTGGGTCAATACGGAGCAACTTCAATCATTTACTTTTTGTACCTTTTCACGCCCATGCTAAATCAATCACCAAAGATGTCGGTAGAAAAACAGTTTCACGAAATATAACTATGAAAAAGCAAATATGTGTCTATTTATACCAGATTTGTCATGAATTGAGTGCATGAAATGGTTCAAGTTGTGAACAGCAGGCAGGCAACAAATCCTAACTCATAATAACTCCAAATGTTAAACGTTAGTGTAACTGTCTAACTCCTTGTCATCCTGTCAGAGGCACGCAAAGAGGATTTGGTAGACTTAATTTAGCCGGTACTTTTAGTTGACACTTGAAAAGACCTCTATATCTGCTAATATAATACTATCACGAAAAAATCCATGTTTCTTTTCTTTTTCTCTTTGTTCTTTCCTCTATGAAACATCAATAATTGTCAGTTTGCAAGATAAACATTAAGTATAAAACTCTCTGCTTCCTTTTTGTTCCTTTTATTCTTTTTAGGTTCATTCTTCTATGATTATATAATGATTGCCGTATCATACTTAATAGAGTTACCATGAAATGGATACCTTTGCATCTATAGGAAAGAATTGGCCATTTCTACAAAATATTTCCATAAGAAACTAAATCCAAAGGATGAAATTTGCACATCTAGAAACAAAGCAGTCTATATAAATGCAGAATTGAAGCCCCGGTAAAGAAATATATGTATGCATTTAGAAATTCACATACCAATAATGATATAGCTGTTAAACGACCACCAGTGGAGGCCACATAAAGCAAGGCACGAGCCTTCACAAAAAATTAGTAAGAGATCAATAGTAATACTTAATTAAACAAAATGTATGTATTATTTCATTACAAGGGAAATTCACCTCATCAATTGCTGGTGACCCATATATACTGCCTCCACATGGTAGCTTGAATACGCAGCAATGTTTTTCATAATCAAGAGCATATAAGTTATGATCATGTGAGCCACACCTATATAAACATCAAACCATGCTGGAAACTTAAATAATTTCCAATCAAGCTACATGTTACATACCTTTTCAACATGTACGAGAGGCTTCTGACACATTAATAGATTCTTTGAACATGAACTCTACAGAGAGAAGTTCCATCTTTGCTTCTAGTCTAATATTTAACATTTTTGTGTGTGATGGTGTTTAGATTGTAAATATGGTCACCAACATGTACTTATTAGGAATTACTAATTTTATTTATATTATCAGAAAAAAATTATTACAGGGGAAAGAAAAGTATTACATGATACAAGAGTATATGATTTCTTCTAAATAGAAAAGTCAAGAAACAAGAACGTGAAAAAAAAAAAATAGCTCAGAAAATCCCATTCAGTTTATTAATAAGAAATGACAACACTTTCAAACAACAATTTGTAGGGTATCAAAGGGAAGCACATTAGGCAGGGAATTTATTCCCACGGCCAGGAAACTCAGCACCTGAGAGTCTTGAATGAAATCTTAAACCATGCACCCCATTGAATATTGTACAAATTATGTATGGAATTAATCTTCTTTGTGTTGAATATACACTTAGGGTACTCTATTTATAATAGAAGAGATATAGACTAAGTCCAAAATACAAATAAACAATAATAACAAACTAACTAAAAGATAAAAAGTAAAACTAAGATAAAGATAATATATCTAACACCCTCCTTAAATTGGTGCATACAAATCGTATGTACCAAACTTTTTACTAATATAATCAATAAAGACTTAGTGAAAATATATGCTTCTGTACTCGAGTGATACTAAATTGTTAATGATTTGAAAAGACGACATAGAAGACGAAATACCATCTCAGAAGACTCCCCCTTAACAAAAAAATTTGAGGTTTCTCCATATAAATATCTTCTTGCAAATCGCTACTGACAAATGCATTATTGACATCTAGTGAATAAAGAAGCCATTGTTGAAGAGCCACCACGACTATAAAAAAACCTAACAAAAGCCATATTTGCCATTGAAGAAAAAGCATATATGGACAAATCAAACGTATCGATGACAGAAGAGACAGCAGTAGAAGAAGTCATGGATGAACAGGAGAGAAAAACCCTAAAAATCCAAGATTCTCCAATCAAGACACCAGAAAGAGGGAAAAGAGCGACCTCGACGCTCTAAATAGCTGCTTGAGAGGAAGCGGGACATGCGACCACGCATGGCAAACTTGAAAGAGGAAAAAGAACAACCTTGCTTTGAATTGTTGCTTGAGAGGAGACAGGACGCGCCACCATGCAGGACAAAAAGGGGAACAAATCCACAACTTTGAAAGGCACTAATAGCGCGTAAGAGCTCCGATGAAGGCATCGTTGAAGGAACGGTGGTCGTCTAGTTGAGACGATCATAACTGTGTGGTTGCTAGTCGAAACTGGAACTCCGGCAACGACGACAGATGCTGTCGCCACCGGTAACGGTGATAGACGCTGCCACCACCGGCAATGGCGGGTGCAAGAAACGAAAATTTTTTTCCTAAAAGAACCTGGCTCTGATACCATGTTGAATATAGTAGAAATTATATATGGGATTAATCTCTCTTGTGTTGAATATACACTTAGGATACTCTATTTATAATAGAAGATATATGGGCTAAGTCCAAAATACAAATAAGGAAGAATAACAAACTAACTAAAGATAAAAAATAAAATAAAAATAAAAATAATATATCTAACACATCCAAATCCTTAATTTTCATATATTTATAGAGAATCCTTCCACCCTTATGATTTTCTAGGTTTGACAACTTGTATTGTGCTAAAGGGTGTGTCAATTTTTTCCATGCGAATAGAAGTTGGCCATCAGATAATCTCCAAAGTATATTACATTTTAATTGAAAATAAAAAGGACATGTTTGAATGTAACTATGTAGGTTGTAAATTTCTTAGCAAAACAACTCAGATGTGATGGAAATTGGATTTAATATATCCCATTAAAAGTCATCTACTATCTCTAATTGATGTGCAATATCCATCACATCCCCTCACGTCAAAGGACTGGACATTTCCAACGCACCCCTATCGTGCTTGAGGACTAGACATCTCTAAAGTGAGACTAAATAGATAGGCCTAATAAACCTCTCATTAAGATAGCCTTTGATATTATTTTAGAAAGTTAACTTTTAAGCCTAACTCAATCTCATAAAACTAGCTTGCCCACATATATATTATTATTTGGTCATATTTCTAGTCAATATAGAATTTCCAATAAAATAAAACTGAGAAGAGGTCAAACTCAAAACAAATATATCAACCTACAACCCTCATAAATTTTAGTCTCTTTCATTCCTCTCCTCAAAAAACAAAATGCCAAATATAGCATTTTTGAAGATTGATTTGTACAAACCAGCAGCAGTCCTCTAAAGGAAGTATATTGCGCATTCAGCCCATCTACAAGGGTTCTAAAAGAGAGATTATAGACTATATAACAAACTTGCATACATTGCAATAATTGTGGGAGGTACTAAGTCTGTGTTGTATATAAGAGAAGATAGGGAAAATGACCGTGCAGGCAATCAATCATTTGGGTAGCTATGACTTGTGAATGGCTATTATCACAGGGATAAGAAATTTTTGTCTCTTTCATTTGTATTTCTTAGAATTTGGAATTGGATCTAATTTACTCTTACCAAACTGAGTTGTTAAGTAAAATTGCACCTCATTTATAATTATATGTTAGCTATTGTCACAAGGATAAGAAGTTTTTTGTCTCTTTCATTTGGTTTTTTTAGAATTTGGAATTGGGTCTAATTTATTCTTAACAAACTGACTTGTAAAAACTACACCTCATTTATACATTATATGTTAGCTACATCATTAGTAAATGAGGGACTAAACAACCCCTTGCCCCCTGGCGCCCCCCTCGTCCTCTTCTTCTGAATATTACCTTCATAATCAGTGAACTGTCCTCTCAATGGTTGTCTATATTGCTAACCTTATCAACATAACATAAAGAGAAGCAAAATCAGAAAACAAAATACCAGATCAATTGTCTGCGTTTGTCTACAACCGGCTGTGATTTTACCTTCAGGAGTTCAAAAACATAATTAGAGGGGCAGGGGACTATATGAAGTCAAATGATAAACAAAGAATAACAATAGACTTATTCCTTTGTATGAACAATGAAGTCAAATAGCAAATCACATCCTCCAAAATAAAATAAAAAATTATAAAAATTAAAGAATGCCACAATGCTGTTGTGTCTCTGCATATCAGAAATGGAACTCCCTTGAAACAGACACGAGCAGAACATCCATATGAATCCATGAACACAATATGTTAATATTCTGCTCATTAACAAAAAATACATCAACTTACCTAAAGAAATGAAGAAACTCAGTCATTTTTTTCCACACAAATACTTCATCATTGTTGTCATCATCATGAACAAACTAGCACTTACATAAATGGCTTGCATCTCTAGGACACCCCTTCTCACAAGATCCCTAAGAAGACATGGAAATTGATGACCTACTTTTACTATGCAGAGAAATTCAGTTTTATTTAGAAAAATGGGGTCACAAGGAGGCTTAGTAATGCTTATGCTGTTAGGTGAGTGGTATATATAATGACTTAACACTCGAAGCAATGAAGCATGGACACTAACACTCGAAGTGTCAGATGTTTCTAACACTGAAGCCTCCAACACTGAAGCCTCCTTAACATAGTAACCTCTTCTATTGTGATTAAAAAGAAAAAGAGCTTACATAAAAGAAAGACACCATAAACTACAAACAAGAAAAGATAAAAATTTGAGCATTAGAAGAAGATACCTCACCAGAAGTTTGGAAAATCCAACATATGTGTCCATTCAAAAAATCAAGAAAATATATTTTTCCCATGTAACAACCAACAACAACCTAGAGAAATGTCACATGTTAGAATAGATGGATAGAATCTTATAACTAAAGTAACTTCATATTAACAACAAAGGAATATCAACCTGGGAAAAATCAGAAACAATTGCTGCTGTACTTTCAATTCGCCCTTCCAGTTTGATCTCCCACTGGACAGAACCACTAAAAACGTTGATTAGGTACAAGCTTCAGTAGAGCTAGAAAAGAAAATAGAAACCAAAATATAGTTCTAGCATCAATAGTGGATTCCACTGCTATACCTGAAGGTATTTACATTGTTAACCTCTATTTATATGCTACCTTGAAAATCAGCGTTACAAAAATTGAAAAACATGATAAATCTAAAATGTACAGATAATTCAAGAACTGGTGTGGTTTTAGACAATAGGCAATGGGTTGTGTCGGTTAAGGGATGTTTTTAAGCAATGGGATTGAGGTTTGTTAAATAACAAGATTTTGCAGGGAAAAATTTGGGCTTGAAGTTTTGGGTTATAAGCTAGAAACGAAGGTAGGTGCCCCAAGATGCAATGCAAGAGGTCACAAGGTGTGCTGCTAGAGGTTCACTGTGAGAGCTGCCATGATATGCATTTCGAAGAGCACCATGAGACCACAAGCAAGAAACACCATTGTAAGTCCGCAAGAGGTGTCGTCCCGAGGTCACAAGCGAGAAATGGCACAAGAGGCACCATTGTGAAGAACATCAAGGCCGCAAGGATAGCTGCTCCCACCTGAGTGCAATCTACAATAGTGATTCGACACAATTAACCTAAATCGCTACCTTACGGCAATTCAAGATCAAAGAGGGAGGAGGAAAACCTAGATGTGTACAAAGCGATTCTGACGGAATGGATCAGTGGACAGATAGGTATTTAATGTAGGTGGTTAGTAACTATATATGAGTTGTTAGCATTATTTACCTAGATATTCATAATGTATTTACGTGCACTTTCATTGGCTCCCATAAAAAGAATATGATCATCGTAGGTCGACAAAAACCATAAACAAAACAATTGCAAGAATAAGTTAATAACATTTTAAATGAACAAAACTAATATATTACGATATGGCAATATATATAAATATATGATAATGTTATTAACTTATTTTTGAGAGAAGAAGCCATTCTTAGATTAACATGTCTTTCATAATTTCACTGTCTATCACTCATTCAAAGAAAATTATGTTTTAAAGGCCAATATATATATAAAAAAAAAAAGCAAACTAACTCATATTTTCCATTCATCTGTATCAACTCTCAACATCAATACCTATGGCTCCATCCAAACAGCTCTTCAAATCTCAGTCCAACTGGTTCAAACAACAAATTTTTCATTTTATATACCAGCCTAATAACATAAACAATTCACATTCATCAAATACTAGGAATTAGCCCACAAGGCTTCAATAATATACAACTCAAAGTGGCTCCATCAACATACTATAGTGGTGTTGGTGTTTTCTGTATTCTTTCCAATTCACGTGTCTGTTAGGATATAGGGTATTTGGGATATAAGGGTATAATGGGAAATGGGATTAGGATAGAAGGTAGAAGAATTGTATAAATAGATTGTTTGAATGGTTAGAAGGGAGTTTTTGGGTAGTTGATTTGTTAACGGGTTTAGTCCTGTGAAAGGGGTTATGCCCTTGTTTCTGTAAGTGTCCAGAGTATTCTTTTGTGAATAATACACAGTTTTGTTCCCATTCTTTTTATTTTCTGTTCTGAGAGGTGGTTTAGAGGGTTCTTGACTAAGTTTCTTAATCGGAAACCTATCAATTGGTCCGACCTGCCGGATCCCAATTGGAGGAGTGAAGTACACGCGTGATGGAGAGTTGGCGGTAGAAGGTCAGCTGGAGGCGGTAGAGATTACGCTGGCCGAAACGAAGGCGGATATGGTCTTCTTGCGGCAGAACTAGGAGGCAATGTGCCGAGACATCCAAGCGATTATGAAATTGTTGGGAGATCACAAACAAGACCCACACGGGCCGCGCCGTGAAGGTAGTGAATCCTCCGTAAATGATAACGACGGCGGACCGGAAGGGGAAAGAGGAAGACGGGAAGTAGAGCGACAAGACGGACAAATTAATTGGAGAAAACGGGTGGAGTTACCCGTGTTCGAAGGTGGCGAACCGTGGAACTGGATCAGTAGGGCGGAAAAGTTCTTCGAGGTGTAGAGAGTGGACGAAGACGAGAAATTACAAATGGCTTTCATTAGTATGGAGGGGTATACGGGGAGTTGGTTTCGATTTTGGAGAGAGAAAACCAAGAACCATTCTTGGGAAGGGTTGAAGAGAGCTTTGGGGATTAGGTTCGGGGCAGGAACGAGGGGAACCGTTTACGAGAAATTGTCGACCATCAAGCAAGTCGGAACGGTGGAGGATTATGTCAGGGAGTTCGAGACGTTGGTGGGACAGACATCCAAGATTCCAGAGGAGCAAATTCTGGGTTACTTCATGGCGGGACTCCAGGAAGAGGTGGGAGACCATGTCAGGCCGCACGACCCACCAGACCTGATGACGGCGATGCGGGTGGCGCGAGATGTGGAGAGATTTACAGTCTCGAGAAAGNAATTGGGTCTAATTTATTCTTAACAAACTGACTTGTAAAAACTACACCTCATTTATACATTATATGTTAGCTACATCATTAGTAAATGAGGGACTAAACAACCCCTTGCCCCCTGGCGCCCCCCTCGTCCTCTTCTTCTGAATATTACCTTCATAATCAGTGAACTGTCCTCTCAATGGTTGTCTATATTGCTAACCTTATCAACATAACATAAAGAGAAGCAAAATCAGAAAACAAAATACCAGATCAATTGTCTGCGTTTGTCTACAACCGGCTGTGATTTTACCTTCAGGAGTTCAAAAACATAATTAGAGGGGCAGGGGACTATATGAAGTCAAATGATAAACAAAGAATAACAATAGACTTATTCCTTTGTATGAACAATGAAGTCAAATAGCAAATCACATCCTCCAAAATAAAATAAAAAATTATAAAAATTAAAGAATGCCACAATGCTGTTGTGTCTCTGCATATCAGAAATGGAACTCCCTTGAAACAGACACGAGCAGAACATCCATATGAATCCATGAACACAATATGTTAATATTCTGCTCATTAACAAAAAATACATCAACTTACCTAAAGAAATGAAGAAACTCAGTCATTTTTTTCCACACAAATACTTCATCATTGTTGTCATCATCATGAACAAACTAGCACTTACATAAATGGCTTGTATCTCTAGGACACCCCTTCTCACAAGATCCCTAAGAAGACATGGAAATTGATGACCTACTTTTATTATGCAGAGAAATTCAGTTTTATTTAGAAAAATGGGGTCACAAGGAGGCTTAGTAATGCTTATGCTGTTAGGTGAGTGGTATATATAATGACTTAACACTCGAAGCAATGAAGCATGGACACTAACACTCGAAGTGTCAGATGTTTCTAACACTGAAGCCTCCAACACTGAAGCCTCCTTAACATAGTAACCTCTTCTATTGTGATTAAAAAGAAAAAGAGCTTACATAAAAGAAAGACACCATAAACTACAAACAAGAAAAGATAAAAATTTGAGCATTAGAAGAAGATACCTCACCAGAAGTTTGGAAAATCCAACATATGTGTCCATTCAAAAAATCAAGAAAATATATTTTTCCCATGTAACAACCAACAACAACCTAGAGAAATGTCACATGTTAGAATAGATGGATAGAATCTTATAACTAAAGTAACTTCATATTAACAACAAAGGAATATCAACCTGGGAAAAATCAGAAACAATTGCTGCTGTACTTTCAATTCGCCCTTCCAGTTTGATCTCCCACTGGACAGAACCACTAAAAACGTTGATTAGGTACAAGCTTCAGTAGAGCTAGAAAAGAAAATAGAAACCAAAATATAGTTCTAGCATCAATAGTGGATTCCACTGCTATACCTGAAGGTATTTACATTGTTAACCTCTATTTATATGCTACCTTGAAAATCAGCGTTACAAAAATTGAAAAACATGATAAATCTAAAATGTACAGATAATTCAAGAACTGGTGTGGTTTTAGACAATAGGCAATGGGTTGTGTCGGTTAAGGGATGTTTTTAAGCAATGGGATTGAGGTTTGTTAAATAACAAGATTTTGCAGGGAAAAATTTGGGCTTGAAGTTTTGGGTTATAAGCTAGAAACGAAGGTAGGTGCCCCAAGATGCAATGCAAGAGGTCACAAGGTGTGCTGCTAGAGGTTCACTGTGAGAGCTGCCATGATATGCATTTCGAAGAGCACCATGAGACCACAAGCAAGAAACACCATTGTAAGTCCGCAAGAGGTGTCGTCCCGAGGTCACAAGCGAGAAATGGCACAAGAGGCACCATTGTGAAGAACATCAAGGCCGCAAGGATAGCTGCTCCCACCTGAGTGCAATCTACAATAGTGATTCGACACAATTAACCTAAATCGCTACCTTACGGCAATTCAAGATCAAAGAGGGAGGAGGAAAACCTAGATGTGTACAAAGCGATTCTGACGGAATGGATCAGTGGACAGATAGGTATTTAATGTAGGTGGTTAGTAACTATATATGAGTTGTTAGCATTATTTACCTAGATATTCATAATGTATTTACGTGCACTTTCATTGGCTCCCATAAAAAGAATATGATCATCGTAGGTCGACAAAAACCATAAACAAAACAATTGCAAGAATAAGTTAATAACATTTTAAATGAACAAAACTAATATATTACGATATGGCAATATATATAAATATATGATAATGTTATTAACTTATTTTTGAGAGAAGAAGCCATTCTTAGATTAACATGTCTTTCATAATTTCACTGTCTATCACTCATTCAAAGAAAATTATGTTTTAAAGGCCAATATATATATAAAAAAAAAAAAGCAAACTAACTCATATTTTCCATTCATCTGTATCAACTCTCAACATCAATACCTATGGCTCCATCCAAACAGCTCTTCAAATCTCAGTCCAACTGGTTCAAACAACAAATTTTTCATTTTATATACCAGCCTAATAACATAAACAATTCACATTCATCAAATACTAGGAATTAGCCCACAAGGCTTCAATAATATACAACTCAAAGTGGCTCCATCAACATACTATAGTGGTGTTGGTGTTTTCTGTATTCTTTCCAATTCACGTGTCTGTTAGGATATAGGGTATTTGGGATATAAGGGTATAATGGGAAATGGGATTAGGATAGAAGGTAGATGAATTGTATAAATTGATTGTTTGAATAGTTAGAAGGGAGTTTTTGGGTAGTTGATTTGTTAACAGGTTTAGTCCTGTGAAAGGGGTTATGCCCTTGTTTCTGTAAGTGTCCAGAGTATTCTTTTGTGAATAATACACAGTTTTGTTCCCATTCTTGTTATTTTTCTGTTCTGAGAGGTGGTTTAGAGGGTTCTTGACTAGGTTTCTTAATCGGAAACCTATCACTGTCATATTGTACAAACTAAATTTTAGAGAGTAGTAGTCAAAACCTCCAAAGAAAACATGATACATCAACTTTGTTCTGACATATTGATGCTTGTTACAAAAGCTATATTATCTTCAAGATTGTAGTTGTTTTATTTGTGACCTGATACAAATAACATAAAGTGTAGTAATACACATACACATGTTGTCCAAAAAAAAATCTCATAAAAGGAGTGTTCTCAGTCAACAAACATAAAATAAAAATATAATGCCTAACCACGTACCCTACTTTGAGAAATAATAATTGTCATTAGTTACTTTCAGTTAATAGCCACCATCACGCAGATTCTATTACATAATTAATGCAAAATTTCTGATACAGAATAAATTACTTTTTCTCAGAAACACTCATTATAATAGTTGCCTAAAATCGTTCAACAAATGCTTCCTAGTCCACTAGGAGCTCAAATTCAATCAGGTCCACATCATTCATCAATTTATACAAAAAGTATTTCAGTGCACAGGAAATGATCATGATGCCAAATGAAAAATTTGTCAAACATTAGATGAGAAAGTGAGTTATTGCTGGTATGCAAACTTTCGTTAGAACCTGGAGAGTAAACTACAAAATGAAAAAGCAAACACAACTTTGATTAATTTTAGTTCAATAACAAGAGAAACATGAAGCTACAGAATTACCTTCTAGCATTTAGGCAGAGAAATTTATGAGAGTGAGATCCAATGAACAAATAAATGTGTGTGCCTTTAAACACAAGCATTGGTGAAGCATCAACACAAGACTCCATGTAAACTTTCCAAAAGTCTTTCATGTGACCTCTGTTGCCTCTTGGAATGTCTGCAGACCATGTATTTTGGTGCGTATCAATTACTTCCTGCTGCCCTCTATGCAAGACCTTGTTGCATCGGTTCAATGAGAATGATAATACTGAAGGGGAATACCATGGGAATAATTCATCACCCCATGATGTAACATCTGTCAAACCCCTCTTTAAACGTTTAGAAGGAAACGGACCATCATTGTTATCTTTGTAAGTCATCCTAGACTCAAGAGGACTAGAATTTTCCGTTTGATTAATAGAAATATGGTTATCTTGTCTGTCTGTGTTTATTTGCAAACAAAAGTCCAGACTGTTATGCAAAGTGCAAGATCCTTTTTTCTGGAGAAGAGCCATACAAAGCTTAAGAGCACTTGGATAGTAGTAAAGAAATCTCATGTCAATCCCCAAACTGTAAGCAGCATGTGCAGCAGAAAGAGAGTTACCGCCCATCATAAAGAAATCATCATCATCACAAACCTTTTCAATCATCAAAGCATCATGAAATGCCTGTTAAAGCAATTACCAAAATCAGAACCCTTAATCTTAAGAAAAGCCATTAATTGAGCAATAATAATTGACTTAATTTGCAGAAGGAAACATGACTTTAGAGGACTCAAAGCTATTGCATAAATAGTTTAGGGGTCAAGAAGTTACATGTATATCAGAGGTTCATAAACTCATTCATGATTTGTCGTCATCATATACATCACAAAATGGAAAGAAATGTATATTCAGAAAAGGAAATTTTCTCAGGAAATTTTATGAGAGAACAGGGTGAAGAATTCTTCAAACAAAAAAGACTAAAGAAAAATAACCAATCATAGAGGTGTATTTAACAAAATAAACATTCATGAAAAAAAAAAACTGAACAAGCTGACTTATAAAATATCCCTTCCTAATTCAATTAAAACAACGTAAATGTCCAATACTTTACAGCTTACACCATGGTTCAAGACCAACTATGACTATTGAATTTACAATTCAGTTCAGTACAACATGGTCCACAAAAAATTGTGATTTCTGTTGAGATAAATGATAATGTCATTATAAAATAATGAAATCATACCTTTTTAATAAGTTGCAAAAGATTGCTGCAGTCGATGTCACCAACTTTATCTTTGACATTCTTTGTCAATAATTCTGAGCCAAACAACAATTCATAATTAACCTTACCACTAGGAGACAGGGGGAATGATTCTATAAAGAAGTAACGGTTGGGAAGTACAACAGAAGGAAGTTTGTTAATCATCCAACTTCTGATTGCAGGAATTAATGATTCACCCAAGCTTTCTTTTTTCTTCAGTATGATAAAGGCTTCAACAAGCACAAGTTCTGCTTTATTATTTCGACAAACTACAGCAGCATCGTTTATATGTGGATGCTCCCTTAACAAATCTTCAACCTCTTCTAGGGCAATACGCTGTCCATTGATTTTTATAATGCGATCTTTTCTTCCCAAAAATACAAAATCACCACTAGGCAACTGTTTGACTAAATCACCCGTTCTAAAGTATAATTTATCTTGGCATCCTTTAACAAAATCACCACAACTGTAATGTGGAAGCAATTTTGCAAATGACATTTCCTTAGATTCCTTGTAGTAACCCCTAAAGATGCAATGACCACCAACATATAGCTCTCCCTCATTTGATGCATCATTTTCACTAAGAAGAATCACATCACAGTTAGGAATGGGTAAACCTATTGGAACACTGGTTAGCCTTTCTTCCTTAAAAATCAATGGCATTCTCTTGCAATCAAAATATGTACAGTCACCAGAGACCTTAGTTAAAAAAATGGAAATTAAACATAAAAGCATTAGCCAATAATAATTGTACAAAACACTAGAAAAGTGCAATACGACAAGCACCATGTCAACTCCTTTCTAGTTAATTACCTTAGTCTGTAATATCGAACATGCATGACTAGATAAGCATTGAATAGCAGGAACAAAGCAAACACTAAAACACGACAACAGCCAGGAAATATTTGAAATTACCTTGATGCATCAAACAAAACAATGCTATACTAAATTGTGGGGAAAAGAATGTCATAACAGGAACCAGACAGCAAATTTAAATTATGAACATTGTTGAAACAGAATATAATATACAAAGATAACCTTCTGATCTAACCTCAGTGCTTCCATATAAATTCAAGATTGATGTCTTCGGTAATATAGTTGAAAGCATCTCCCACAAGGTCAAAGAAAAAGTTTCACCGCTGAGCACAATCAATTTCAATGAATTTTCAACTCGCATGTTAGCATTGGTTTTCAATCCCGGAAGAATAGTCTTCATTAGTGATGGAACGGCTGTGAGCCTATTAACAAAATATGCCTACAGAAGAAATTAATATAATGGGCAAAGTAAGGAATTGAAAGAAATATAATTTTATTACCAAGTACCAACTGGTACTGTGAGAGAAAAATAGAATATAGAATGTTATAGACTTCTTTAATCAAGAAGTCGATCAACTCTCGAAACTCTCAAGAACTAACAGAAAAACAATGAATAATACTCGTATTATTGAATCAATCAAAGAATTCAATGTACAATGGTCTCTCTCTAGGAGGCCTGAACCTTCCTCCACTGGACAATGTTCCAGTAAAATGCTCAAAGATACAAAACGATCCCCTCTCCTTCCAACTAACTTCTATTTATACTCTCCCCTTTCCCTCCAAACTAAAAACTAATTGATATCCTACTGTTTCTGCCCTTCTTACTCTATAACCTTCCCTCCTTTCCTTTTCTTTCTTTCGTACACTTTTAATTGTCTAACAATACCCTCCTCCTCAACTACAACCTTGTCCTCAAGGTTGAAATCAGTTAATTGTTGCCTTATATACATCTCATCTTCCCATGTAGCACCTTCCATTCCCCCCTCCTGCCGTTGGATCAGAATTTGTGCTATCTCCTCGCCTTGTTGTTGTCTACTTCTTCGTTGCAACACTTTTAATGGCATGTATAA